ACAAAACCCTAATGGGCGCAAAACCCTAATGGGCATCAAAACCCTAATGGGCAAGAAACCTAGAGCTCTGATACCATGTGGAGACTAAGGTTGGAGAGAATCCAAATGTACTGTATTCTCATTATTAAAGTCTATATATATAGTTATACAAGGTTGACCTAATCCTATAAGGAAAAGGTAAATGACAAATTAATATTAATACAAGAATATAAAATATACTAATATATACTCTAACAGAGATCATGAGTAAGTTTACTAACAAATATCAAATTAAAAGAAAATTATGGTAAATTGTAAAACAAACGTCAACGAAAGGGATTTAGTAAGATGGATTGATCCTAAAATAGAAGAAGTGGTCCCATTTGGTAGAGTAACATCAGGCAAAAACATAGATGGTGAAATGGTAGAAAATAAATTGGGATTACCTAAAATATAATCTGTGGTCCAGAGTCAATGACCCATTTTGATGAGAATTGAAGGAGACATTTATGTGTGTTACATGACTGATGGAGGTAATTGGATTAGAGGATGATTCCGTCAATGACTCTGGATATTGTTAGAACTTAGTAAACTATTCTGCCAAAATCGTAATCAACTTTTTGGCATCAATAGAAATATGCAACATGCACAGATTGAATACGCTGACCTTTACTCAACAGCTTCCTACAATCACGCATTGTATGACCTAACTTATGTCAATAATGACACACAACTAGTAGAAACAAAATCATCTCAAACATCACCACTGATTTCTTCTCAGCTATAACCTAAAAAGCAAAGACACAGATTCAGATGTGAACCCAAAGGTAATTTGAACAAAAAACCCCTAATATTCCTGAATTCATTTTCCTTTAAACACCATAATCCGAACCAAGGTTCAGCCACAAGCTGATATTTGAAACGAAATAACCAGGAGAGCTAAACTAAACTAGAACCAGACCGAACTGGTTGAACCAAATCGGACCAGAATTTTGACCAATTGGAGGAGTCATGTAACTACTATGGTTTGGGGCTTTCTCTTCCTTTTTTTTTTTTAAACAATTTCTTACATCAATGAAATTGTTTCTTATAAAAAAACATAAAAGAGCTTATCGGACAATGTTACTAAAACAATCATAAAATCTATCTCTCCAACCTACCTATGCATAAAATGCCTGTAACTTTATTTGAAAAAGAATCAAAATCTTTAATTTTATTTTTAAGAACTAATTTGGAAAATTTTAATAAAATAGTGTTTTGAAATTTATTTTTTTACAACTTTGTTTTTGAATTGATTGATAGTTATAAAAAATGTATTTTAAAATAAAACGAATTATCCTGGTTACTTAACTCCACTAAATTTGATAAGTCTCTAATTCTACTATATTTAATAATATTTTGAACTTTGAAAGTTGAATGTTAGATTCCATTCTATTTATCTGAAAAACTAAATGAATAAATTATAATTTAAAAAAATTATATAGTGGTATAGTGAAAAATTATCACCATTGTTGCTATCTCCATTTTTTCTGTTTGGTTTCAAATAATTCAAACACTATTTTCTCCTCTCAATTATAGTATTTTTTTTGGTCTTAATACCATTCACTTTGTTTTCATATTTATTTTCCTTTAGCTTGTGGCCCAACATACAAGACTTAAAAAGGGGTTGTGGAAGAAATGGATATGACATTTCGGACAAATGGGTATTTCACTGTGAGGTAAATATGTAAGATTTTAAAACACTTGCATCATAGAGCAACAAAAGATTAAAAAGGAGTGGAGAACAAAGCCTCTGTTGTTGGGCACTTTGTTCCTTCTTGCTGCATTTTGGTCCTTAGTCGGTTTCCTTTGTAACATGGAGCACTGAGGAAAGAAGAGCAAAACCTTTCATTGTAACCTCTGTATTGCTCTTTGTTCTTCTTGAGTCTTCTCATTTCATGGTATCTTAAAGAATGAAGAGAATGGGCTTTCTTTAGCAAACTCTTTGGTGATTATCATTACTACACATTTCCAACAATTGCTTTATCCATATGAATATCTCCTTCATTGTCTTCATCTTTTTCCTTCATTTGTTTGCCAGGAAAAAATTCGAGTGGCTCTTTATGTTCAGAAGGCAGCATTACAGTTTATTGATGGTAATGGCTTATGCTCACTCTCAATCCTTTGATGTTATATCTCATTTGTTAAGTCTCTATACTTGTCTTTATATATGTTGTTCTCTTGTGCAGCCGTGCATCGAGATGAGTACCATCTGTCAGATGAGGCTAGAAATGCTGGTTATAATATTCATCCAGATGAACTTGCATCCATAGTCCGTAGTCATGATTTCAAGGCATTCAAATTCCATGGTGGTGTCGAAGGACTTTCAAGGAAAGTTTCTGTCGCACTGGATGCAGGCGTTAGTGAAAAGGACGTGTCCAAGAGACAAGAGATTTATGGTTATAATCGTTACACAGAGAAACCTTCCAGATCCTTTTTGGTGTTTGTATGGGAAGCATTACATGACTTGACATTAATTATCCTAATAGTTTGTGCACTAATTTCTTTAGGCGTTGGAATCGCCACTGAAGGATGGCCGAAGGGGACATATGATGGTTTAGGAATCCTACTCAGTATACTATTGGTCGTCTTGGTTACTTCTATTAGTGATTACAGGCAGTCTTTGCAGTTCAAGGATCTTGACCGGGAGAAGAAAAAAATTTATGTTGACGTCACTAGGGATGGGCTAAGGAAAAAAGTTTCCATTTATGACTTGGTCGTTGGAGATATTGTTCATCTATCCATTGGAGATCAGGTTCCTGCTGATGGGGTTTTCATATCAGGATATAGTTTGCTAATTGATGAGTCCAGCTTATCAGGTGAGAGTGAACCAGTAAATATAGACGGGGAGAAGCCATTTCTTCTTTCAGGAACCAAAGTGCAAGATGGATCTGGAAAAATGATGGTAACAACAGTTGGCATGAGAACTGAATGGGGAAAATTGATGGAAACCCTCAGCGAGGGAGGAGAAGATGAGACCCCACTGCAGGTGAAGCTGAATGGTGTAGCAACTCTTATTGGTAAAATTGGTTTAACTTTTGCTGTATTGACATTCCTAGTGATGACAGGAAGGTTCCTCTGGGAAAAAGCTGCTCAGCATCAATTTACCAGCTGGTCTTCAAGTGATGCACTTAAACTCTTGGATTTCTTTGCCATTGCTGTTACCATAATAGTCGTCGCAGTTCCTGAAGGATTACCATTGGCAGTGACATTGAGCCTTGCATTTGCTATGAAGAAATTGATGAACGAGAGGGCACTTGTTAGGCATCTGTCTGCATGTGAGACGATGGGTTCAGCTAGTTGCATTTGCACAGATAAGACAGGGACGTTAACAACAAACCATATGATAGTTAGTCGTGCATGGGTCTGTGAAAAATTCATGGAGAATAAAGGCCTTGAGAGTGTAGACAAATTAAAATCAGAGATCTCTGGAGATGTTTTAGGCCTACTTTTGCTGTCCATATTTCAAAATACTAGCTGCGAAGTGACTAAAGATAAAGATGGGCAGAACTCAATCGTTGGTGGAACACCGACAGAATCAGCGCTATTAGAGTTTGGCTTGCTTTTGGGTGGGGATTTTCATGCCCAACGTATAGAATATAAGATACTTAAGATTGAGCCTTTCAATTCTGTTAGGAAGAAGATGTCTGTACTTGTGGCTCTTCCTAATGGTGAGGTCAGAGCTTTTGTCAAAGGTGCATCTGAAATAATACTAAGTCTGTGTGATAAGTTTGTTGATTCCAATGGAGAACTTATTGACTTGACGGAAGAGAAGGTAAAGAATGTTACAAACGTTATCAACGGTTTTGCCAATGAAGCTTTGAGAACGCTATGCTTGGCCTTCAAAGATATGGAGGACCCGAATGACAAATCTATTCCAGATGCTGGATATACATTAGTTGCAGTCGTTGGAATCAAGGATCCTGTTCGCCCGGGGGTCAAGGATGCTGTTAAAACTTGTTTAGCAGCTGGAATAACTGTGCGTATGGTCACTGGTGACAATATCAATACGGCAAAGGCTATTGCTAAAGAATGTGGCATACTTACAGACGACGGTTTAGCTATAGAAGGACCAAATTTCCGCAATTTATCTCCAGAGCAGATGAAGCAAGTTATACCAAAACTCCAGGTTTACCTTCTCAATCTTGAAAATTTATCATACTCAATCTTTTCTTGTTTGATTATGGTTGCATATTTTATATATATTGCCATGGATATAGGTGATGGCTCGGTCCTTGCCATTGGATAAATACACACTGGTTAACAATTTGCGAAGTACATTTGGCGAGGTCGTTGCAGTGACCGGAGATGGGACCAATGATGCTCCTGCTTTGCATGAGTCAGATATTGGACTAGCTATGGGCATTGCTGGGACAGAGGTCAGTACATCAGCTAAGTAAACTGTAATGGTATAATTGCTTGCAACTGGTTGGATCACAGGTTCTTTTGAGCTTAAGAATAAACTGATATTTATTGTTCTTTAGATTTCCTTTTCTTTTCTCTCTCTGTTATATGTCTAGTGGTTACTTCTTTTTACTTAATAAATTTATGAGGTAGAAAGAATCGGAATGATATATTCTTTCCTATACCATGCTCATTATCGATGCCTAATTTTTTTTTGATTGAGAATATATTCATGGAATAACAGCCTAGAGGTTGGGGGTGAGGGAACCCCCAAAAAAAACTAAACGAGAAAGACCTTTCAATCGTTTACAATCATCTAGAGGTTATAATTACAAAAGACTTTTGTTGATTTAAGCACAACCAAGATATAAAAAGCTTAAAACTATTACACAAACAATCAAAAGAAGATGAATTATCTTAAAAAATCCTGTAGTTCTTTTCCTTCCAAATATGCCACAAAAAAGATCTTTTGTGGTACAACTGTACAAGGGGCTTGGCACATATAGTTAGCCCTCACGGGCTCTACCAAGCCCCATGGGCTGATCTCACGGGCTCACGAGTTGGACCTTATGGGATTTGTGCCCTAGGGCTCGGCTTGAATGTTCCTAAGCCCAAGGGCATTGGTTAGAGCTTATTTTACCCTTTAAGACTCAGTTTCTTCAATGAAGAAAATTAATTCTACGTAGCAAACTACTAAAGGAAAAGCAAGTTTTCTACTAATCTACGTTACACCACAAGATTTAGGATGCTCTGTGGAACTATAAATTATCAAACCCTTAGCCGATAAATTAGGGGCTCCACTAAAAAACTCATTGGAGGATCAAATTGCATCAAAATCCCCCACGACTAGCCAAGACAAGTCATCGTACTCTAGGCTTACAGAGACTAGATTCCTTCATAAGTTTTAACGACTAAGAAAAAAGAGTTTTGCGGGATAGACATGAGATCATAACAATTTATTGGGTCATCATATTTTTTTTTTGATAAGAAACTGCACCTTCATGGAGAGAAATGAAAAATAGATACAAAAACAAGAAGGACATACAAAAAATAGCCCTGCAAAAGGGAGTCCCTAAAGAAACAGGCTGCAATCCAAAAAAATAAGACCTAACTGATAATTACAAAAGGCCTTAGTGACTGAACCCCGTAAGGAAGTATTAAATCTAATAAGGTCCCAAACATAATCCACAGTTTTCTCCACCCCTCTAAACAGCCTATTGTTCCTCTCTAGCCAGATAACCCCATAATGTAGCCAAAAAACACGCTTGCCAAAGAAAACGACCTCTGCCTCAGTCATCATATTAACTAGCCTCCCACCAGCATACTCTGCCTCAGTCCTCTCTTTTGATTTCTAGACAAGGCTAGTTGGAACTTGTTTTCCTCCACACCAGACCACGATCCATAACGACAATCTCCCTTATCACTTGTACTGAAATCATTCACTAAACACAAACTTCTTTCACTCCTCACAACTAACTAGTTTTCTTTTTTCCTTGTCCATACGCTTGTTTCAACCCACACCCAAGACAATCTATTTTTAGGACCCCAACAGAAAAAGTATAGACCTTATAATTAATCTAATTCTGTAAATCCGTAATACATGTATCAACATGTACCACCTCAAAAGACAATAATATCTAATAGAATACTAATGCATCATCCTAAACATGTCTAATTTTCAACATAATACATAT